TAGTTCAAATAGAACTACCCTCGTCGCCAAAAGAAACACGACCGAGAAGGAGATGAGCAATCTAAATGAGATTTTGTACACAAATTTGCAATAGTTTGCTATGAAATTGATTAGAATTTAAAGTGTGGCTTGAATGCTAATAGAGAAAACTTGGCAATTCTTCCAATTTCAATAGCGGCTTTGGAGTCATACGAAGGCCAGTTCATAAGTAAATGGAATTAAGCAGAGAAAGCGGCAATAGACGGGCAGCGGAGCCCATATTCACTTTAACAGTAAAGCATGCATATTACAGCTGAGAGTAAAGGCGGCAGCGCGCTGCATGAATCTGGCATGACTGTTCGTCGTATAAAATATGGCGGCGCCCTTGTCAGCATGCACGATGGAGAAGCAGTGGACCGTTATCAGATTTCTATAGTCAGAAGGCGTGAAACCAAGTGACAGTCATGCAAGAATGTGGCATAACACGGGAAACACTTCATGAACAAAGCAGCTGTGTACAAGTGGGTGGACAAGTTTAAAGCAGGCCGGACAAGTGTACTGGATGAATCCCGCATGGGACGCCCTGTGGATGTGACGACTCTAGAAACAAGTTCATTAAACTTGTTCACCCACTTGTACACAACTGCTTTGTTTATACAGTGTTACCCGTGTTATGCCACCATTCTTGCATGACTGTCACTTGGTTTCACGCCTTCTGACTATATAAATCTGATAACGGACTACTGCTCCTCCATTGTGCATGTTTACAAGGGCGCCGCCACCTCTACGACGAATAGTCATGGCAGATTCATGCAACGCGCAAGCTCCTTTATTGTCATCTGTAGCATGCATTAACTACCGTTGCGGAGCGATTATGGGGTTCGCTACCCACCTGTTGTCGTTTTCTCAGCCTAATTCTACTTACTTATGAGCTGGCCCTCCTACTAATCCCCCGAAATGGTTACCTAGATGGAACGTGGTAAGGAAAATCCTTAAGATGTGCAGAAGAATGCAGCAACGTTTTGAGATTGTGAGACGAAACGATTCAGAGAAAACTTGCTAAATGAATTTCAGCCCCTCGATCAGGGAAACTCCCTAATTCATTTTCGTTTTCCGTTTGCGTTTCTTGGTCAATCTTTGCAAAATGAATTCAGAGATCCGATATTGTTTCGATAAAGAGCAAAGTACAGGTAACCAGTCCTTCCTCGACCGTTCATAGGCAAAAAGACTTCCCACTCCCTGTCACGGTGGGAAGGATCATTCCGTCTCCTCTGCACCCACTCCAAGTGCCTTTCCCACTCGTTCCTGCAGCCACTACTTCACCAATACAAAGTTTTCAAAGGCTTTTCTTCTCTGGCAGTCCACCTGGCACTAGATTAACAGCAAAATAATTCCTCTCACTGTGTGTGACAGTGACTTTATTACTTCGTTGGAATGAAAATGACTTTAGTTCCTGCTAAATTTGGGAATGCAAAATCCTGCTAACTTGTGGTTTTACATCAAGGTTAGATGTATGCTCAGCATCCTATGGTTGAAAAAGGGATTACTTCTATTCCACCCCTTCTACAGCTTCCATTATTTGGTGAGTTTTACAAAATACTAGTGCAAAAGCCCCTGCACGCACGGGCTGAAATAAGTCGAATCAATGCGTTTCATGCATGCCTTTCTGCGCTCTCCTAGTCAATTTCTTTGTTTCGGGAAGCAGCCAGCGAAGCAGCATTTCGTGGACGCCGTTACGCTCTTTCATCCATTGACTATGATTCCAAAATGCCTCTTTTCCTCCTACGTTCAGTAGTTCCCGCCGCAGAATTGTTTAAACTTCCAAACCTTTTTCGTGGCATTTTGAGAGCAGCACCAAAATTCAAATGATAAAATGAAGCATTAACTCGGTGCTGTATATTTACGCGAAGCAGTGTCGTAAACCGACGACGGGACTGGTAACACTATGACATATGATCATTGCGAGCAGTTGCCATATCACCACTGTCCGTAGCCGACAATGCCTTGTTCTCTCATTATTGGTTGTGAGCACTTCGTCCGGGAAGGCATTCAGTAAATTGCTATTATTATTGCCGAAATTAGGCACTTTAACGTCAAAATTGGATGACTTTTGGAACTGTTGACTCAATAAGCATCGCTTCTGGGTAATAAGCTTTTGATTGACACCTACAGTATTCAAATGAGGCAGACCGAATGAAGTTGGAATTCCCATGAATCAGATGGAGAAGAGAGAAATTGTTCCCGTCATCAAAGGCTCTCAATTCCCCTTTTGTAACACAATTCAATGAGTTCCGTCTCATAGCATTCTAAAGAGAAACAACTAGGACAAACAGACATGCTTCCAATCGATAATAGGAGATGCATTCCTTCATCAGGGAAGCCCAAATCGCCCGCATGCAAATTTTCAGCGAGTTCCGCTCCGTAGCATTAAAGTGAGAGCACAGTTCTCATTTGGAACGCCTGGGTATAATAAAGGAAGATTTTGAATTCCGCTGAGATGCGGATTGGCTCGGTAAGATCGATCTGACCCGTGCCTCGGGCGTGTAGCGAGGTCGGCAATCGAGTTTCCGGTTGGATGCGAGCGAATACGCAATCTGAGACATCGAGTTTGGAAGCTCAAAGGCCAAAGCTGGCTTTGGATCGATCCGGTGGGCAATTGAGTTTCGGGTCGAATGCGGGCCATGATGTGAGCACTTCGCCTGGGAGGGCGTCCAAGAAAATTCCAAAATATTCTCACCGCCGAAATTCGGCGTTATTTCGTGAAAATGGCAAATTTTTAGGACTTTTGACCCATGAATAATTGTTTCTAGATCATAATATTTCGAGTGACATTTCACTCATGAAAAATCCGTCCATCTTTCCAGGAGGAGTTTCCCAGAAATACACCCTGACATAGACAAATTAACATTTTATATATTACGTATATTTTTAAGGATAAGAGATGGCCGAACATTGATTTCACACAACCCATCCCTAAGGAAAAGGTTTTTTTTGGTGTTTAGAGTATTTTCATGAGTTTCAGATTTCGCGATTGCACTGTTTTCTGTGCCACAGGCACGCTTCGCCACCCTGTCTGCTTACACAGTATGCACTTTATTCCGAGGCGTTCCACCCAAAAGTGCGTTTCTGCGCAGGTCTGTGAGGGATCTCTCCGACACCCCTTGAGGCAAATACATCACCAGAGACCTCGAGTTCTCGAGCTTAGAAGCCTAAGCGGTCTGCGGGCCGGCCAGATCAGCCAAACACGATTCGCGGCTCGGATCAGGAAACCTCGGTCGGTGATCGAGTTCTGGGTCGGGTGCGTGCCACGATTCAAATCGGGCCGATCGAGTTTCAACTCTGAAAAGTCGACTCGTGCATGCCTCCGATGGGCAGACAGACAGGAGGAAGCATAGCAACAACGTCCACAGGGAATGTTTTGGACTTTTGACCCAATAAATATCGACTCCAAGTCATGAGCTTTCGATTGACACCTCACTCATGGAAATCCGTTCATCCGTCTAGGAGGAGTTTCCCGGAATGACAGACACACAGACAGATTAGCCCCTTACGTATGTGGATGATGCTGCTATGCTATTGGCTGATGGGATATTTAGGGATTTTCACTCCCCTTCTAGAACTAGCTGAGCTCATCAGAATGTGCCATTCACACTATGAACCAGAGGCTGCAGAGCCTCATGATGTTGCCATGCTGTTATTCCTGTTAAATTCCTGTCATTCTTGAGAATGTCTAGGTCACTTATTAATTCTTGTGAAACACTTGCTGGTTATGGTTTATCATTTCCATCTGAAGCTTCCAGATGATATTGTACCTTTGCGAAGGCTGAACTGGAGGAATTAGGATCTCACAAGAAGATAGTTCACTATGAGACCCTGGAAATCTGAAGTGCATTCAGATGATTCAAAACACTTGAGTTTAATCTTTCCAGAGCTGAACTTTTTACTTTTTTTGCAATTCTTCTCAAATATCTTTATAATACAAGTACTCTACAGAAGTCCCGTGAGTCATTGCTGAGGATGATGCCATTGCCAAAATTGAGAATGGTGTAGCTCCTTGGAGAAAACATAGACGCAGATACAGTATGCTCATGCTCTTTCAAGAGTTTTACTTCACTGCTTGTCCTGGTGCGATGTGTCCAACTATGCCCATGATTACAGTATATTGTACATAAAGGAACAGCAGTAACACATGGTCTCTTAAATTTGCTGGATTTGCCATGGAAAATACTGCAGAAATCCTCCCTTTTCAACGCACATCCATTTCATGTGGAGTGTGCATATGGAAGCCGCCATATGCAAATTTCCATTGACTCCCATTCATCCATTTATATCCTACTCTCCCTCTTGTTACGTGTGTGCATGCGTCATATTTTCTGAAGAACTGCTTCGGAGTGAAGAATGGAATGAACGCCCTGGGGCCGCATTCATGAAAACTTCGTAAGAATGCGATATTCCTACGATGTTCGTACGAACTTCGTATCTTTGGTATTCACTAAACTTGGTAAGTCTTCGTCTTATTCATACGAACACTGTTGATATTCATGAAACTTTGTAGCATTGATAATGAGCCAGTCAATTACAACCGAGCTCGGGAGCTACCAAGCCAATCGCAGAGTTGAAAGCAACGTGGTTCTCACGCTGACAGCACGAGTCCACATATCATAGGAGCCTTCTGCAAACTTTCTGCGCATTCCGTGCGATTGTTTTCGCTCACACAGGAGGTTTTAACATGACTGGAGATCCTGTCCTATCTTCGAAAACACCCTAAAAGACGGAATCTCACTGAATCTCATCGAAATAAAACACCACCTCAAAGTTTCAGATACCCAAGAAAAAGTTCTGAACACAGTATCAACGCTTGTATCATGGAGACCAGAGGAGAGAGTGGCCGAAAACCGAATTTCGCCAGTTATGAAATTGGGGTGCTAATTGAAGAAGTCGAGAGAAGGAAGAATGTCTCGCTGGAGAAATTCAGCTCAAGCGTTAAGAAAAAATGAAATTGCTAGCATGGGATTAGAGACTCAGGCGTTCAGCTCTCCTCTGCGTGGAGAACTGCTGAAGAAAATAAATATAATTTATGGACCTGAAGTGACGTGCAAAGGCGAAAGGAGTTCAGTTTCTCAGGGAGACTAGCAAGACCGACGGTGGATTACTATCTTCCCCATTGTCCAATCTCTGTCGAAAGATTTTTTTATTAATTGGGGGAAGTGGCTTTGCTGGAGCATTATCGTCTTACTTTTCTGATACTAGATGAATTTGAATAACCTCATGACCTCCATGACAAAATCTTTCTAATCCTGTGTTCATATATCCTGCTAACCACCCAGTGCGAGTGAACCTTAGCCTAATTGAGGCACATAATGAAAGAGAATTCGACAGATTGCCTCGAAAGCATTATTGTGGCCACTTACGATACCTCGGGAGCATTCGTAGACATACGAGGAAAGACACGAACTTTTGCGCTTTCGTGAATACCGCAATTGAGCAGCATTCTTACGAACTGCTTACGAAGATCGTACGAACATCTTCGGCGAAAATGTTTCATGATGACCACTTACGATCCTCGTACGAACTTCGTAATAATTTCGTGGCAGGAGAGGTTTGATGAATACCACTTACGAACATTTCTTACGTATAAAGAATTCGGTAAGAATGGTTGGTGAATAAGTCCCTTGGAATGCTTTAAATTCACAGTAGGTGGGGGTTGGTGAACGGTTAGAGGATTCGGAGGGTGTAAGAGGGTTAGGCATGTCTAACGAAGTCTGCAAGCTCCTTACAAGCTGCTTTTCGTGAAATCTGATGGAATCTATTGCATAATTATAAATTGGTAAAGCGAATCCTCGAGTCTGCTCTTTTGCGAATACATTAGCTCGATATTGGTTTCGGTTTCATCTCAAAACGAACTCATTTTCTCTCACCTGCAAAGTCATGTTGGAAGTCCTTTGTGAGTTCTCCACCAGGAAGATTTAGCAAAACTACATCACTGTCCTTTGCCAGCTCCAATGCTCTCTTCTTAAGAACAAAAGTCTTTCCGGTTCCTGATGTGCCTGTCACCAGCAAAACCGGCTTTGCAGTAAACTTCACAAGCTCTCTTTGTTTGGGAGTGAGAAGAGCGACTATCGTTTTCATTTGTTTGTTATATCGGTGAAGCAACTCTGTGGGGTTGCGCGGGATGTTCACAGCTGATGCTGCACAAATGTAGAGGTCGAAGATGTCCTTGAAACTCTGCATTACTAGGGGCTCAGGATTATCGAACTCCTTCAATTCGATCTTGTTTTCATTAAAAAACGACTGAAAACTTTTTTCATTACGAAGGTCATCTGAGGTGAGGATTCGCTCCGTACAATCTTTGGACTTCATGAGTTTTTTCAAATCTGACTTTGAAAGCATTGGGAAGGCGGCAAAACCCGCTAACTTCACATTACCATTCAGGAACTCACCACACATCGTGCAGAAAACAGTAAGGTCTTTCTTAATTTGTTTTGTGGCTTCCTCAAGACGCTTTAAAAATGTTTTTTGATTTGATTTGGAAGTTGTTGCCTTAATCTGAAAGAATATTCCCACGATGTCCTTCCCAAATATTCCAATGCCGAAGACATCATGATCACCAGATTCCAGGGCTTCTACGGGAACTTTCAAGTTGTCGATAAATTCCTTTCTCTTTTTTTTATCGATGCCCTTGAGCAAGGTGTCAGTGAATGCATACTCGAATATTGTAAGGGAAGGCACATGCCGAAATGCGTCTTTTAGTGCATTGAACACCATGGAAACTGATTCCTGTGGCAAGTGAATGTCCGAACTTTTCTTCTGGGTATTGAATTCTCGATTATTTAGGATGTACCCCTCCGGTAAGGAGTAGGCCTGTTTGTAGGCTTTTGGGTAGTGTTCTTCGATATATTTAGGTGCAGCATCCTTCAAGGCTGCCTTCTTGTCTGCTCCAAGGTATATTTTGAGGTATTCCCGAATGTCCAAGTTTCCATTCCTAGCATAGCTTTTCAGGCTTCCAAGTTGTGAGAGTGTATTGCAGATCTTGCTTTCTTTTTGTGTTTGATGCTGCAAAACCAAACGAAAAATTTCCATCCACAAAATCAAAATCATTGAATGCTAAGTATCAATACAAAGGCGAATATGAACATGAGGTTTCAAACATGCCCCTCTATTGTAATATTTGGCTAATAAGTTTTTAGAAGTATGCATTTGCATAGTGGAGTAGTAATTAGCAGAATCGTCTCCTAGCATGCTAAAGTAAGGGGTAGGAGTTAGATCTACATTTCTTTGCCACTGGTGTCAATTCTCTTGTTTTCTGTGGCCTGTACTCAGCATAGGAGCTGCTGTAAGCATAGATGATGTCGTCGAAGGCCATGTCATCAATACGACCAATTGAATCGAGGTTACTGGATATACATGTCTTACTCCATGGGGAGGGAAAGCCTACCATTGGTTGATTTCGAAAGGGCAGTTCGGTTGCAGTTCAGTTCCAGTTACATTTGGGTTTTTCGTTCGAGAATAGTCGTAATGTGCCATTGGAACCCAAGTCAGAACTAGAGAGTCTGTGTTGACTCCCCGTCCAATCTTAATCAGACTTTATCAGTCTTGTGGTCATCGAACTAACTAATCGACTAAGGTAACTGAGGCTTAGGCCAGAGCGGCGGATCGACGGGGTAAAATGTCCGGTACGCAATGTGTTAAGAATGGGTCAATGAGAAGACGGACTACAAATGATTGCAGTTGAACATAAAATAAACTGAAGCAAGTGTCAACTGCAGTCTTATCATAGTCCAATTACAGTCAAACAGGAACCGGAGAATTTTTTCAAAAGCTCAGTCGTAGTTCCAGTTGACTGCAACTGCAACAAAACTGGGACCATCTTAGGACTATAGTTCAACTGCAACTGAACTGCGGCTTCGAAATCAACAATTGAGTGCTCAATGTTGAGAGAATTTTTTTTCTAGTAAGTTTCGTCATCCTATCATCATATTCAACAACTCATATTTCTTGATTACGGTCTATCGCCTTCTCTTTGGCAAGAATGATGATCCCGGATATATACCACTTCCAAGCGACGTTTTTGTGTTATTGCATTCCCAAGAATCATGGATGATCCTAATTTCGTCCATGGACTGTTCAATTCTCCAATGATGGATGAAAGTCTGGAAAACGGAGTCTGGTCAAGATTTCCCTGCACCATATCCTGTCATTTCAAAAATTTTGAATGACGATTTTATAGAACGACAACATGAGTTTCTGGTCATGTTCTTCTTTCCCTTCCAATCTCTTACCTTAGGTCCAAACCAAGTAACTTCAAACATTACATCAAAGGTGTGATGGAATCGGTCCCGTGCATGATTTCATTCACAATACTCAACGTTACGAGCGAAGCGACAGGTCAGTCCATCTTTCGACATCCATTAGACGTTCAAAAAAAGAGCGTCAAAGGACGACTTCTCACGATCTATCATTCGATGTCCTTGGATGGATGGGTATGCACATTGAGGCCTTCCATTTGGCTTGACATCTAACAGTTCATTCGGTAAAAAATAATAAGTTCCTCCAATATAAGCTAGGTCGGACTGAACTCGCTGGTGTACATGTCTCATTTACCCATATGTTCCTGGATTGTTCTGCAGGAGTCGCCATCCTGTAATCGATATTTTCCCATTCACAAGCAGAAGGAAGAGATTCGTTTCAACTCATACATTTGTTGAGAGACGTAACTCAGCTGAAGGATACTCCAAGCAACTCTTCCACAATGAATAGAAAGGGTAGGGTTCCCCTTGCTAGGTTAGTCAAGGAGCAGTTCTTTGGTAAGTGGCATAGTACTAAGTAATGGGAAGGACAAGCTTTTGTTTGAGAAGGTATGAAGATGTAGTGTGAGAACTCTGCATCAGGAGTTCTTTTTTTTAACGTCCTAACTTTCAGATCCTTCTAGGGACTTAATAGATAGAACCTATCGTTTCTAAGTTGCAATTAGGAAATTTGTAGAAAATGCTGCCCTTCTCCTTGCATTCGAACGAAGAGATGGGAAGTGTGTCACTATTGAGTGCTACGAATATTCATGTTCTTATAATTTAATCTTCATTGCTACCTGGAGATTACTCTATTTCACACTTACGTGGCCATCCAATGGTTTTCCCATTTGGAAATGGATCTAAATAAACGGACGTCCAATATGCCAATGGGTAAGTCCAAGGATTACCCTTGGACGAGACATTTAGTTATCCAATTGGATAAGGATAGTTATCTAGTTCATGTCCAAATGTCCTTGAGTCGATATCCAATGAATTTATTTTGGTTTAAAATTGCTACTTGGGTATTAGGTGATTTGCGAAGGGTCATCATCTAACTTACATCATTCAATTAGTAACAGAAGGGCAAATCTGAGAATGATAAGGTGAATCGACTTTCAGCCGTTCCACATACAGGTGAATCTCAGCGCATTTTTGCTTACAGGGAAAGGTTTTGAAACGCTTCTCCACCGTTTTAGGGACCCAATTTTGAGATATCTGAATGAAAAGTGCTCATGAAAGCCTTTTGAATGAAGCATAGCGCAGGGGAGCTCAGAGATCTTCAATATGGCGTCCGATACATGTTTCCTTATCAGTAGGACAGATATTCTGACACGTTTTACAGAATACTCCCACATCCTATTCTGTATTCTATGGATACTTTTCCTTCTGTGTATTTGAGATTTGTTTTGCTAAAGTGTGCCTCAAAAGTTAACACTATAACGAATTTTACTTGCATCTTATGGAACTGGAATAACAATATTTTTGTCCGTTAAAAAATAAAATAGGTTCTGTTGAAAACCAAGTGAAAATCGACAATTTCTAAAGCTTCTTAGGTGTGATCCGCTCGATGCCTGCACAACATCTGACATATCGCAAGAATTCCTTCTGCAGGATGAGCTGTTCCTGCTTTGATTTTATAGATTGAGAGAGATGAGTCACCAAAATTCTTCCATTCAACGGTATTCATTAAAAATTTTTCGGGATTTCTGCTTAGAAATGCCCGAGAAGGAAGAGGGTGAAGAGACCCATGTTTCGGCAGAGAACTTGTAAAACACTATTTGCTTCCAGTGTTTGCATAGCTGAATTCCATTATATAGGGTGTTAATGGTGGTAAACAAACATATTTGAATTTTGCTAGTTTCATTTTTCAATAACTCGCTTCTGACCTCCTTCATCATCATACAATAATCAGAAGTTTAAAGTTAATTATCTTCTCATCTTAACTATTGCATAAACTTTCGTTAACGTTTAATATAATACAAGACTAATAAGTTATTGTAACATTAATTTTTTAAACACCCCGTAATATCCTAAAGTAGAAAGAAAATGGTAATGTGTGTTGAACTTCTCAATTCAATTTCCACCAATGTCAAGGCAAACATCCCAACGATTTGTAATATTTGTTTCTGCACATTCATAGAATCAATGGTTGACGCTTCCATCTCTACATGGTCGGATCCTTCACTTCATCGTCTAAACACCCATTGCTCACCTATAGTATTTCTTCGAGAACCCGAATGCGTGAAAGTCATATGGTGGAAGGTTAGGACTTTCCCAGGCAGCGTCAGACATCCAACATACGATCGCAGTACGTCCTTCGGATATGAAGATATACTGCGGACGTATAATGAATACGTTCGAATACCAATCATATGGTAAATATTCGTGCAAACCTTAACCCATGTTTATAGATGCCCGAAAGGCCCTTTGAAATTAGCGAAAAGTCATTATCGTGCAAGAGATTGCCCATTCTCTGAGATATCTGGGAGTTTCTTTTTTAATGGTATGGCGGACATCTGACACAAAAGCAGAAAACTGAGCAAAGTTCATGGTTTCAACCACTAAAAAAAGAAATGAAGCGGGAGTGAACCATAACCGTCGAAGGAAAATGGCCTACAGCACCTTCCAAGTAGAATATGCCTAACTTTCTTGACGAGGGATTATGATTCATTATGCTACTTCACTGTACCCTCATTTTCCCTCCGAATGAAAATGATGAAACCAGAAACCAAGTCTCATCGCATGAGGCTCCAAAAAAGTCAGCTTCTCTGAGTTGTAGGCACACGCCAGTGCGCAGGTTCTTTTGTCCTCACTAGATATCTTGGAGACCTGCTTTGTTCCCCATTTCTGGTATGATACTGCATTATACAGTCAATGGATTCTTACAGCAAGTGTTCGTGAAATATGGCACGAATTGAGATACATGCCATTTTTCACGAACACTTGCTGTACTTGCTGTCACTGGTCCCAAACTTGGCAACCAATTCAGTCGAACCAATTCTGTTGCCTTGTCTGGGCTAGTCTAATTTTGCAGTGTTCGTTTGTGGGAACCTGGCCGAGCTAGAATTTTCCCTTCAAACTCTCAGAATCAGTTCGGAAATATTTGCAGCATATCTACTTTCTTGGACGTACGAGGGTGTACCGGAAGGTTTCCCGTGTCCCTAAAAAAATATATATATTTCCAACATTTTTACAGGCAGTGATCATATGAACCGCTCAACTTTTCTACATGTTCTACATTTAAAATTTGTCCCATCGGTAAATGAGTTTTTCTAAACATCGTGAATGAAGTCGGCACTAAGACCTGAGGACCACTCCTAGGTTATATTCTTGCGGGTCACTTTGAAGCCGCTGGCCTGAAAAATACTTCTTAAGCACAGGGAACAAGTGGAAGGAATGATTATGTTATGAACCCCAGTGATCAAGAAAGGCGACCCTTTTTTTCTGTATTATGCAGAAAGTCGGTCAAGGCATGTCCTATATGCAGTTTCTTGTGATCATCGGTTCGCATCCTGGGCACCAAACGAAATACTTCACAGTATTTCAGATTCTCATGGACAATTTCCCATGCAGAACCATAGAAAATATCAAGATTGTCAGTATTGGCATGTAAAGTTACCTACAGAAGAAAACCCTCACCTCACAGCGAAGCTCAAATTTTGCGTAGACTTCCAAGAGTTTGACCATTTTCTCAATCTCACTGCAGATGCTCCTTTCCGCCAGTGAATGGATGGTAGGGCAGGAAGCAATGTACATATTAGCAGATGCACCATCACACTCGTATTAGCAGTGTTTGTTTTAGAGACATGGGGAACTTATTTTCCAGTACCCCCTTATAGTTGTCAACGCAAGCGGGAGTAAACAACCGCACAATTAAGCAATAATTTTGTAGAGTGGGACACCTGTAACAGCCTGAATTTAAATTACAACTTCCTGGGTTCATTTTTGACGTACTAGAACGTATGAACGCCAAGTCGCTTTTGTGATTAAGCAGCTCCATTTGATCGCATAGTGTTGTCAGGTGCCAAGTTTATCGTCGCAGCCTCTATGAACACACCATGGCCATTTTGAACGTTTATAATTACGGAATTATTTCACACCCAATTTTCTCGTTTCAAATTGACTGACCATTGTGTACATTCATAATAGAACTCGGCTGGGAAATTGAAAACGCCCGTTACTCACCCCATCAGTGCTCCCACCATGCCGTTGAGAACGATCTCCCATTTTCAGGAAAGGATGTCGTGAGCAAAATAGGGGTTTCCAAGTGTCTCATTCACGTGTTTCATTCGGAGAAAGGCACGAGCAACAGGAACAGCATCTAAGAAATCTGTCGTACAAAACTTCATCGTAATATATGAAATTCCTAATTTTGTCCAACAATTGCAATCCCCGGCATTCATGGCATCAGACGTGACAAAAACGCAAAGAGCAAGAATATATTTTTCACCTGAATGCAAAACGCATTGGTATTTGAGCACAGGGAGCAGAGAGAAGCAGAGGGAGACGCACAAGAGCAAGAGATAAAAGCGTGAACAGAGCTAGGTCATGGCTACGTAATGCCGGGTTCCAAGATGGAATATAAGCACCTAGAGTATTATCTGAGATAAAATTTACGAGCTGTGGCTTGGAATACCTTGCGTATCACTCTGTTCCGTGCCATGACCAACGATGATGGGGACCAAATTCTGCAGCATAACTTATTTTTATTTCGATGTAAAATCATCCCCAAGTATATGTTCAATCTTACCATGAGCCTCTCGACCGTAATTGATGCATCGCATAGAACTTGAGGGCTCTCAAAACAGCTTGAAGAGTTGGATCTTATTAACAATAGACTTTGAATCTGAATAGAGGGTGACCAAATTGTAACATGGGAAAAGTTGAAAATTTCATCATCTATTTGTCTGCATCAGAGTTCATAAAAGGTTGTCGTTATAGTATCGATAATATTGTGGCGGCCAAATCCAAGGAAGCTAGCTCATTATCTTCACAAAAACAGAAAGTCACTGTACTGAAAATGAGTTCAAAATTACAATGGGGAGCGTCTCTAATTTTTTCTTACGGAAAAAAAATAGTTTCTTCATTTTCTCTTCATAATTTCATGGCCTGCACATTTCATTTTGCATATCCAAATTTCCTAAAATAAAGTGATGGAATATCCCAAAATGTCTAAAAGGGGATGAACTCCATGTTGATACTTAATGTAAATCAAAGTCACAGCTAATAACCAGATTAATGGTGACCACGAGGTGCGTATGCACATTTATCTGTCGAGCTAAGTTCCCGTTTTCTAAAAGAAAATTATCGTAGCAGAAATGAACATAGTTCACTTAATCATTAATACGATCATGTTGAGATTATCTCAAGATACTCATTTTTCATCATTGATGCTTCTGTCGACATAAATGGGGAGCACAAATTCCAACGTCCAACAAGTAAATGATTCTAGCCATGAATTCACACAGCAATGATGATGATCCAGAACAGCGTATGCTCACTTCGAACTCGGAGTCGGCCTCCTCAATCGTATAGGCACCGGCATTCAGTGTACCACATGATACCCTTATGCTTAGTTAATGGGGCAGAACAGGCCTCCCGGCTTTCGCATGTAGATATGGTTCAACTGCGAGTACAAATTTCGCTAGACTAGCGCAAACAAATAATGTTGATGTTTCTCAGATATTTTCTTTTAGAATTTGAGTCCTCCAGTGATTATTTTAATTTCTTATGTGGAAATATGTTGTAAATTATTATTTCTATAGGCTCTGCCTCTCTTGGCTCCTCTGATGACCCACCCCCCATAAGGCTATTGAATAGGACTTACTTAACCAAGTCCAGAAAACTGGGTGACAGCAAAAAATACTCATAAGCAATTAAATGACTATGTTTTGAGCTATTAGTGTCAGATATTAAAGGGATGAATGAAACATGGTCAATGTCAGAGAGAAATGAGTATAGCCTGATGATGCTGAGGAAGGCTCTTGCTGTGGTATGAGGGTGCTACCGTCGATGAGCAGGAATTGTAAGCAACACTGGAAATACTTTTGGTAAAGTGAATCCTCTTGAGTTTTCATGGTAAAGAGTGGAAACTGAAAAAGTGATTCTTGATTTAAATGATATCTTGCTGACGGTCTCTTCATCATTTAGGTGCCCTAGTAATAATTATTTCTCGAGACACGAAAATCACAAGCATGACCTTTCCAGGTTTCCAGTTTTCCAGGGCCCATGATGGAGGGACAATGAAGCATTCATGATCATGGATAATGAAGTCTGCAATAGCATTGCTTTGGCAGGCTTGAAAATTTTGTGAATTCTTTCCTCAAGCCAAATCGAGGAATACAGGGAAAGCAATGGAGTATATCACTTCCTCTCCTAATTACAGGGTATTTTACTTCTGAAGCAACGTTTAAAAAAATATCTGTAAAATAACTAGCACCAATTGTGCAAGACCTAATCACCCGATAAATGTTTAATACAAGGTGAGATTCACACTGACGATGCTTACTTTCGTTATCATCTTCAGACAGGTACCGCGCTATTGTACCTTCGCTCAGAAGGAGCTAACAGAATTCCAAAGGAGTAATATCTGATGAATTTTTGGGGAGTAGGGCACCGTTATACAATGGAACCTTCGGAGGAGACCAAAATAGCTTGTTCAGTGAAACCAGAGGTTTCGGTCACCATGATATTACGGCCACCTCCCATATGCGGCTAGAAATGCTCAGTCCAAATCGTCAGCTCCATAGGCTCAAAGTTAAAATAACATGTTTTATCATGCCACCTGTCTAACGCGGCCAACGGCCGAGGATTAGCAGACTCTCTGTGCCGGCCACTCTTTAATCCGGTCAGAACACAAGAAGGAAGATTGCAGGTTGAATTTCTTCCTCTTCATTTCCCTGCCTTCTAGCCTCCCACCTTTCATCTCTCTCTTCCCTTTCTGCTCCCCATCCCTAATTCCCGAATTGACCCGTTGCTTGGTTGTCAAGGTCACATCTTCTGAGTCTCGATAGCGTGAAAATGATCATCAGAGTGTTTACATAGTTATTCTGTGCATCTTATTACCTTTCTTTAAGGCCATTGAGTGCCATGGAGAAGCTGAAGTGGCATTTGGGAAAGAAGGGGATGGATGTAAGAGTCAGTTGACGTGATCACGAAGCTCGAAGTGTCTCTGCTTGAGCGAGCGTGCTTACGCTAGATGCGCGTGTGTCAAACAAACATTAAAGGCCTCCTTACAATGAAATCAGGGTCTTGAAATATCTCTCGGTGTACAAAAAAAAAATACAATCAAACAAAATCAGACTATGGTACCTTTAGAGGATACATTGTTTACTTTTCTTGAAAAACTGACTGGCAAGTACCTTAAAGTTTGCCTGGAGAAAAAAAAATGTAAAAAAATTCCCCTTTTATACCGGCCACCTGTCAGAACCGACCGAATTTAAAAAGTCCCCCTTGTGGCAGTATTATACAGGTTTCATTGTATTCCATGCAGCACGGGGTCTTGCTTTGTCATGATGTAAGAACATTGCAAGACGACATATTACTCTGGGGATTGCAAGTCTCAGCCTCATTCTTGACGGCTGTCATCTTGGAATACCCTGAACTTAGTCAGGGTCTTCTTCATCGCTTTACTCGCAGAGTGTGCCATTGTATAGTGTCTAGTTTGAACGTACGAGGGTAATACCTTAGTGACGATCGCCATCGAAGCTCCAGTTGTGCTAGAAGTCATTTCCCTTGGCGCTCAGGACGTGGATGGATCGAGTAAGGAAACCGATTAAATGTGAGAGGAAGAGCATTAAGGGAAGGTAGGACAATACGGGCAGTTAAGTAAAATTGCCAAAATTTAGTACCAAGGAGATGGCGTAGCACGTTGCCGATTGGTATGCGGTACTTTTCATGCGACAAAGATTTAACTTCATCGCGAAATCAGGGGCGTTTTCCCCCCTCCCCCCCCCCGAGAATTTTGAAAATTGTTGCCAAATACCCATTTACCTCCACCCACTGGGCAAAATGGGGTACTCTTTAAAAAATTATTCTATCAATACAAAGTTTTTATTCATAATATATACCTACTAATGCAAGTTGCAGAACAGAAACAGCAAATAAATATCTACAAATAACAAACTTATAATTCTCCATGTGCTTTCTCCTCTTTCTCCGCTTTCCTCTACCAAATTGGAATAGGGTATAATTTTTGTGCTTTCTTAATTTTATGCGCAAGGAACACGTATAATGCCGGTATCGTGATGCGTTTACCAAATTTCTGAATTTTTTAAATAATCCATGTAAAATAGTTTATAGAGCCCTTAAATTTTTGTGAGAAAATATTCTGTTTACTTAGCGACAAATCTAAATGATAAAGGAACAAATTTTAAGTCGAAAAAGTGCGACTAGCGTGTGAGCGTTGTAATTCTTCCTCCTTTTGTTCCTACCCACCAAAAAATATAATTCCGAACCCAATCAATGGATGCAGTAAAGTCAATGGTGGAATTAGTCATTGCGAGCATATCCCCATCTAACTTCTGTGCCGAGGCGACGAAGTCGGAAAGTGACCTGCATTCATGCACCACATTTCCTTTTGCTGAATCTTGAATAGTGATGCTTTTGCAACTATTGGGTAGACCACTTCCCTCTTCAATCTATTCTAGGTGAAATTAACTTCATTGACACTCTTTTGTTCATTTCATGAATAGGCACAAGGAAGCGTATTCATGCAGTGGCAACTATTGTTTGATTCCTAGAAGAAAAATGCCCGCTGACTTATCGCTTGTCACGTGTTACGATCGTTTTCCCATATTGTGAAAAAACGCATGCATAGGATATTGCATTACTTTGTAGGTTCGTGCTTTTCTGCTTCATGCTTCAGTGCCAAGGGAAGCATGAAGGTGAGGGGTGAGACGATCTATTTCCCTGGAAACTACATCATCCTGGAAGAAGAATTACGAGTGCACTTCAGATAAGCTCACTTCAGGTAAACAGGCAGAATCTGGGTGTGTTGACATTGTCGTCCCCTATGAGATAAGCAAGATATTGCTCTGTACGATAGAGCAGTTCAACGACCATGAA